CTATTGCCTTATTGAACAAACAGATATTCCACTCCAATAATGTTTCTTCCTTCAGTGACTTCCGGGCCCAAGTCATGACAACCTGCATTGCTGATTAGGTTGTCCTTTCCTCTCCCACTCTTGTGTTTTGTTGGCTCACATCTGTTTCACAGGAACATTAAGATTCAATGGGAAAATGAGTCTGCCTCTGTTTGAACTACTGGCTACAAAAAGTATTGTCAGAGTCTATTTAATTCCACTTCTGGAGGAGTACAGTAATAACTTCTCAACTCCAAAAGAGGCACGCAGGGCCATGGAGTGATGAATACAACTTCTAAGCATTCCTTGTGTCCACCATGTGAATGATACTGAGTGCAAAGAAAATTTGTGTCCTTAACATTTAGAAGAGTGTCTTACATCAATATAAAACCCCAGTAACTACTTCTTTCTAACATCATTTCTTCTAAACTTGGTCATTGGAAGTAGGGATAAATGCATTTATTTGTGGCTCAGATGAATCAGAAGAGTAGCAAAGACTTTAAGGGGAACATTCAAATATCCTATAGTATGATATAGTTTTGGTTGTAACAGAACCTAACAGACAAGACCTTTAACAAACATTAAAGTCTGGAGGTAAGCAGATTGCTGATACATAAGATTGTCCAGGAATCTAGACTTCTTGTCCCATACCACTTTTTGAATAGTTTCCTTGTCTATATGAATCAAAAAGCTTTCCACAATGTTGAAAAATTAAGCAGCAGGAAGGAAATAGAAGTGACTATCTTCTCTTAAAGAGTTTGACCAAAGAGTTCTTTGTGTCTCTTCCACTCTTCCATCTTCAACTCACTGTTTGTGTTTATCACATGGCCACAAGAAGCTACAAGGAATAAAAGGAATGTACGCTTTACCTAGATGGTCATATGCCCAGCTAATAGTCATTTTATTTTGTAAAAAGAGGATAATGGATGCAAAGGAACAATGAACAATCCTGAGGAAAAGGCCATGTCACTAGTGTCCTCATGACATGTAAAGGAAAAGAAACACGTTAGAAGCTTTTTGTGGCTTTTGAATTTCTGGAAGAAAAACATTAAATTACTTGTATTCTGATGATTAAACACCCTTGGCTTGCATTGTTGACTGTAAATCTCTCTAGGCAGCCACAAAGACAGATTGACACATAGTTAATCTGTACTCCTGTGTTAAAAGTGTTCCTGTATTGAACTTCTGATTTTCGGTCTTTCACATTGCTTGGTAAACAACTATTGCTCTAAGAATGTGCTCTAAGATGATCATTCTCACTATGATCTGTACTTCCCATGATTCAGCAGCTGAGGAGTTGGGGTTTGGTTCGGCTAACACATTGTCAATTCTGACTACTCAACAAACGTTAAAGTCTGGAGGTCAAGTAGAAAGCAACTTTTGTTTTTTTAAATCATCACCCATGTGCTGGAGATGCCCCTTAGGAGCTTAGGAGTTAACTTGGGACTTTCCATTGTCTAATTACACATACCTGACATCTAGCATTATTAAACATTCTACAAATGTGATCATGGATAACATTGTATCACATTTTCTGCATTACAAACATATGAAATTCTTTTTTCATTCCAAACCCAGTCAAAGAGAAATTTTCAAGAGACTACTCCACACCATAAAGCAAACACAAGAAGCCCTTAAATGAGGCTTTAAATGACAAGGTCTGACACAAAGAAGAGGCAGTGTTCTACAAGAAAACATAATGAAAATGAACAAACTTAGATGTAGTCTCTAAGCAGCAATACCAGCATCCTAAAAGACAGCATTATAAATGAATGCATTCCCTTTATCCAGGCAGGAAGAGCCTTGCTGATTGGCTTCCTCACTGTTATTTCCCAGAGGAACACCGAACAGGCAGTGTGTGTGGAGACTCGGAATAATGTCATAAAGCTAATCATGCCCCAGTGTACACTTTGTCCCATCAATATTCCATCTGCTTTCGCATGCCTAAGGAAGTAGAAGAAGACGTGGTTTAGGAAAGTTTCTTAACCATTCTGAGCCTTATGATAACCAAGACAAGATACTTCTATCTGGCTTCCAAGATGGTTGTGAGGTTTACAATGAGAATGGTAGGCCCTTAGAAGTTTTCAGTTCCTTCTTTGTCAGTTAACAGACATTTGAAGCTCACGATTTATTGCCCATAATAAAAATCTAAGGGCCAGGGTTGTTGTTTTACATCTGTAATCCTAACATCCAGGAGGGCGAGGCAAGAAGACCTTGAGTTTGAGACTATGTAGTGAATTTAAAGTTAACCTGAGTTACATAGCAAGACCTGGCCTCAAAGATAAATAGGCAAACAAATAAATACCACAGATCAGTTACCTATTTTCTCACAGAATTTCAGATCATTTTATCTTAACCTTCTACCTCTGCTCCTGCCCCAGGACTCTCAGGCCTGTTGGAGATAACCATATTAGCAGTCACATATGTATGCAAGATGTAAAGTTTCAATTGAATTCTTGAAACAGAAGTACCTTTTGATGTGTCCTGTCTTCATAATTGTTTCTCTCATCCCCTACACTCTTCTAGTGTTTGTTCCTTTCTGCCTAACTCTCATCTTCTTTCCATCACAGGCTAGCTCTCCACCGGGTCACCCATATACAAGTATATCCATATATCTGCCAGTCTCCTTTCCTCTGAATCCTGATGTGATAATAGAGAATCTCAGTCGCTTGCCTAAACTTAACCACCCCTGTTCCTTTTATTGTTTGTTCTTCAGTTATTTTAGCTAGTTCCCTCTCCCAAGGATTTTAAACAGGTTCAAATATCTACTGTTGTTTAAGACTATCTTACAGTTATGAAATGAAAAGGTAGCCAGGCAATTAAGGATGCTTGCTGTTTCTCCAGAGAACTAGAGTTCAGCTCCCAGCACTCAAGTCAGACTTACAACCTCTTGTAACTCCAGGAATTAAGTTCTATAAATGAAATTCAGTTCCACAATGTATATTTAAAATGGAAGGATGATCATATATTGAAGTATCAAATTCCCAAATAAAGTTATGGCTATCCATATATAACAATCGTATAGAGAACTTAAGACATAAGATTCTCAAGCCTAGAGAAAATTGTATATGGTTGAGATGGCTTGTTACTCCTGCACAGAACCCAAGTTCAGTTCCTAACTCCTACATAGGCAGCTCATAAGCACCTGTAACTCCAGTTACCCAGATCCGTTGCTACCGCTGGCCTCACTGAGCACTACACACATACTTACACACACAATTAAAAATAAATCTTTTATATCATGTTCACAGCTGCCTTTAAACACCATCTCTCCATTATAGAAGCCCCCAACCATAGAAAAAGTAGATCTTAGCTTATTTCCAGTTTTGTTTCAGTATCGAGAACATCATGTTCTTTTTGGTTCTGTTTGTTTGTTTTGTTTTATGGGCAGGATTTAGAGGTTAATTTTTCAGTCTATACAAGACTAGCTTTCAAAGAAAAGTCAGTTTTCTTGAGGGCCATTCTGAAATAACAATTCTTAGTTGTATTAGCCATTTATCATACATTTTATTCGACAGATAATGATGTCTTTTTGTCACTATTAAAGAGACAAATTTGATATGGCAAAACATCTTTGAAATGTACTAAACTTGTGAACTCTCTCTCAAAAAAAGGAAAAAAACCCCAAAGAACAATAACAACAACAACAACAAAACCAAACAACAACAACAAAAACAACCCTTGCATTTTTTGTCCCTCTTTTTGCTGGGTGTTATTTTCCATTTATCACTTTCCTTAAAAAGTAATTTCCTATTTATTTTCTTTTATTAAAACCAGAGAAAGATTAGGCTGCCCTGTGATTTGTCTTCCACAAGTAATCTTTTTTTCCTCATTTCTGCAAAGAGGTCCATTCTAGCTGAGACAGGACCTTCTCTTTCTAGGAGATCTTCAAGAGAAGGAAAACTCTTCCTACAAAATCTACCTCCAGGACATACCCCCAGAGGCAAGTGGGCCACAATGTCTTTTCACTGCTTGATAGTTTCACTCTTACCCAGCAGTTACATAAGGTCCTTCTATCTAACTCTTTGTACCAGCTACATCTGGGGATCATCAACAACGCCAGCATGATTTCTTTTTTTTTTTTTCCAAAAACGAGTTTATTTTGAAAAGTCTTTTAGTCCTCAGTACAGAGATGATTTAAAAAAAATAATTTCCTACGTCTTTCAGGCTAGTGGTAGGATGTGGTAGCCCTACCACAGTTTTAGTGGCTGTCAGCAGTCTGCACCTGAAGTGACACCATTGCTCAGTACTGGTTTTGTGTTTTAAGTTCAGTGATGATCCAGTTATTTTGTTAATGCTCTTTGTCAACAAATATTTCTCAACATCCAGGTATGTTTTCCAAATCAGTGAAAAGTATGAGATCCTTGGGAAAGATATTAAGCATCCCCATGAATGTCAATGGATGCAATTATAGACAACGTGATCATGATCACTTCCTAAATGGATTTCTGAAATCGTAACTTAGATTTAATGCTGTTATTTTAGATATTGCCAATAATTACTATCCACAGAACATTTTAGTATCATTTCTTCAGTCAGGACCAACGTATATGAAATAATTGCTAGCCCTCGACTTATGTGTAATCATGATCTTATTTATTTTGTCCTCTTTATTGTCTTGGTGTCTCAGGAAAATATGAATTCAAATAAATTAGTGATCCAGAATTTTGAGCTTTTGGATCAGGAGATGGGCTGGTTTTAAAGACAGATGTCTAGACAATGGATTAAATATTAATGAGACAAAACCAGTAATGTCATATGAAACAACAACAACACTGGACCCAGCACGAAATTAGGGCAAATGCAATACTGCACTAGATACACATGTAAGAGGGAAGCGTAAGTCCTGAGTATGCTCCCGGAGAAGAGGGCACATGAACTATAAAGACTAAATAAAGTGTATATGTTTCATAAATTTCATTTGAAGATGGGCTCTCTTTCATTTGCCATCATCTGAGCTAGTTCCTTCTTTTAGAGCCACCTCAGACATCAACACACAGTCCATGTTTTGGAGACATCGTTTGTCTAGTCCCTGTTAAATACATAAGGAATGAACACATGTGTGGCAGGGACAATGTGCTTATTACGTAAAACCAGAAGGGCAAAGGAGGAGTTTTCCCAAATGGGCATATCCACAGGCCGTGACGGATTCCATCGCGGATGTGGTGTGAGGTCCAGGAAATGAATATCATCCACGGGAGGAAGCGCCATGAGTCCCTGAGCTTGAACAAGTGCATGGCAAGCTTCACACTCAGAACCGTGATGGGTATCACAGTGGAACAGTGAAGGAAAGGTCTTCTCGGAAGAGTCAAAGCAGCCTGAGGGGAGAAGGAGCTGCTAGCATCATTTCCTTCTTTGTCAAATCTCACAGCTGCCTCTTAGTATTTTAACATACTCAGCATCAACTGATGCAAAGAAAACACAACACCGCAGACAGGCCTAACCCATGATTTCCAAAGCAATGGCTTCCCTTTCCACTCTCACCAGTTATTCCTCCTTGCTGACTGGGCTTCAGGGCCAATAACTCTGATACATACTTTGTTTCTGACAAAACGAAGAAGTTATGCTTTATCCACCAATCAGCAGATATTTACTAAACACCTACTAGGTGGATCAGGCCAGTGGCTAGCAAGGCAAAAATCCTTGCTTTGAATCTGTATTTCTTTTCTGAAATGTTTGTAAATCATATGCATATAAAAGGCAGAAAAATCTTTTGATATTTAGAAAATATAATGTGTAGAAGATATTAACTGAGATACCATTTTAAGTTTAGTTTAACGTTTCAAGGCTTGTCATTACAAAACTAAACACTTGAAGGTCTCAATATGATTTTCGACTTCTCCACCAGAGACTCCGGTGGTAGCCAGTCTGTTGAAATGCATATCTTTGGCCTCAAGTGAGGCTGGAGAAGTTTAACCACTTAAGTCATTCCCCGGGGATGAGAATAATTATAAAACTATTCATCAACGGCACACATAGGAGATGCACACTAACTGGAAGGCATGGAGAGCAAGAGGAGAGTGTAAGTGTGGCCGTGAAGACAGAACACTGACTGGGGAAGACGGGAAACGACAGCCATTCACTTTCACCAGTTGCTCGACGAGCTAGCGCCGGACCTCTCAGCACAGTTAATAGCTCTTACTTATGTCTATACGGGCCTTTGTGACAGCAAATTTGATTAGCGACGTATCTCTGTGTATCTTCAGGGAAGTTTAGACACCCCCCAAAAACATTGAATGAATTAGCTTTCCTATTTTAAGTAAGACACTCTCTCTAGCTTATGGTGGCTATAAAGATCAGCATGGCGGTATCAAAGACATTAAAGCCAGAGAAGTTAACTACGTTGACGTCTTCCTTACTTGTAAGGATAGGGATCTAGCTTGAACAAAATGGTCGATATCGATAACAGACGCTAAAAATCCAGCTAGAAGAACCTCTCCAAAGTCAGACTTCCTCCTGATGCCAATGACTACTGCCCACGACCACATGCCAATCACTCCATGTACTATGTTATCTGAGAGGGCACGGAGCCAGTTATTTTGCTGAATTATGGAAAACCGAAGAAGTCTGTCAACTACTAGGCAGAAGATCCCCAGACCAAGGCTGGAAATGAGGGACTCCGTGCTACAGCATGGAGGTGAAGCACGGGTCTTCTCAACTTTGGATGCCATCATCAACTGTGTCAGTACAGTAAAAGCCATCAGGAACTAACAGGTAATTCTTGCTTTCATCCCCTGTATCCTTTGTTGGCCATTTCCCCACTCTGCAAACTTGTTCCTGCTCTTCCTCAGCAGGCTTGCCCTCAGCTCTCATCTGCTCTTCATGGCTGTCTGTGGCTGCTGAGAGCTTTCACTATTAAATCTGAACTGTACTCTTTGTAGAGGAATGTTAATCCAGCAACATGGCTGCTCTGGCAAGGGATCACATCCAAAGACTACATTCCAGGTCTGTGTCGCCAGCATGATTTCTAACAGCCTAAAACCTTCATAATCTATAATAGCCAAAGGCCCATTTTAATTCGATCTTGTGACCACTATTTCCAGGTTTCTGTGTGCAAGCCGTGCAATCCAGTAGACTGCATTTTGAGATATTAGGAATGTAGAGGCTCAATTCCACATTAGGGGCTCATCCCACTGCCCCACTATGCTCCCACAGTTGCTCTTGCTTATCTAATGTCCATAAAGTGACCTGCTTTGAACTAGCTTCATGAGCATAGACTAATAGCTAACTTATCCTAACTTGCTTTTTTTCAACTGTGAAGTGGGATGATCTAGGTCTGTTTTATATCACACAATTATTACAACAACAAATAATGTCTCAAATACTCACAGGCAAATTAACTGTGCTTATTAAAAAACCAGCAAAGAAACAAAAAAAATTAATTGTAAAGGTCCATTAAATTCTGAAAATGGCATTCCTTCCAACTGCTCTTTAAAGTCCCAGCCTACCTTTTATATAATGACGCCCTCTGCTGTTCTCTGGCATAATCTACTTCAGACCAAACAAACAGTACTTGGTCTGTCCATGTCCATTATTAGTGTTGCAGTAACATTTGGAGATCATCTACTCTCATTTTAAAGATAAATCAGAAAGGTATGTGCATAGTAAGAAAGTGTTTAAAATCAATCATACTACAAGCAGACCTCAGATTTCTTGAATACAAGATGTGTCTTCTTTAGTCAGAATGCCAGTACTTGAGGTGGTGCATGCCTATAATGCCTGCATTTAGGAGGATGGGGAAAGAGAATTGTGAATTCCTGAGCGGTTTAGACTATGTAGCAAATTTCAGGCTAGACTTGTTTATACAATGAGGCCTTGTCTCAACCAAACCAAACCAAACCAAACCAAACCAAACCAAACCAAACCAAACTTTCTTTTGAGTTTGGCTTAAGTGTCACACAGACTTGATAATCTTGACTAGCACTTTTTCTTCCTACTAAATTAATCTATCTAGTCACCCAACATAGAAATCCAAAGTCCCTTTTTAGTCTATACATTCCTAACAAATACATTTTGCTGTGTGGGCTCAACCAATCCAATCTTCTAAGCGTTTTTTCCCATTTCCCCATTGTGAACATCCTCATTGAAGCCTTCATCATCGTTTGTAACCAATTAAATTTCAATAGCTTTCTAAATGTTTAAAGCATCTGCTGGGTTCACCCAATCATCTTCATTCTATCAATAAACTCTTCCTTAAAAATCTTCCCCATAGGCCCTTGGTCCTGTGGAGGCTCGATGCCCCAGTGTAGGGGAATGCTAGGTCAATGAGGCAAGAGTGGGTGGGCGGGGGAGCTCTCTCATAGAAGCAGAGGGGAGGGGGCGAGTTAGGTTTGTGGAGGGGAAACAAGGAAAGGGGATAATATTTAAAATGTAAATAAAATAACCAATGCAAAATAAAAATAAATCCTCCCTATATCAACTAAAATAAGTCTAGTATTGCATGCTTTCCTTCAAGCATGGAACCTAAAATAATCCTAAAAATAAAAGAGGGGTGTTTAGGAAATAGAAAAGGAAGACAAATCCTTCTCCTTTGGAGGGACAAAGTGTGGTGGCTCAAAACTGTCAAAGATCTTATATACATGTATGAAAATACCATAATGAAACATCATAACTGTATTCTGCAATCAATATACACAAATAAAATACACTTCAAAAATCCTCTCAATATTGCAGATAGTAGAGATCAACATTTAAAATATGCTAATATCCAAGATATATAAAGAAGCTACCCTCCCCCCAAAAATAAAAACTCAAATAGCCTAATTAAATATAGGGTACAGAGCTAAACAGAGACAACACAACAGAAGAATCTCGAATGGCCAAGAAACACTTAAAGAAATGTTCAAAGTTCTCAGTCCTCAGGGAAATGCAAATCAGAAAACCCCTGAGGTTCCTTCTATCTCAACACCAGTCAGAATGGTGAAGATCAAAAACCTCAAGAGACAGTGCACGCTGGCAAGGATGAGGAGCAAGGAGAACACTCCTCCATTGCTGATGTGAGTGCAAATTTGTATAACCAATTTCGAAATCAATTTGGCAGTTTCCCAGAAAATTGGAAATAATTCTATCTGAAGACCTAGTTATACCAGTACTAGGCATATACCCAAAAGATGCCCCAACATACCACAGGGACACATGCTCTGCAATGTTAATAGTGGCCTTATTTGTAATAGCTACAAGCTGGAAACAACCTAGATGTCCCTCAAACAAAGAATGGATACAGAAAATGTGGTTCATTTGCACAATGGAATACTATTCAGCTATTAAGAACGAGGACATTATGACATTTACATACATACATACATACATACATACATACATACATACATACATTTACAGGCAAATGGATGGAACTAGAAAATATCATCCTGAATGAGGTAACCCAGACCCAAAAGGACATATATGGTATGTACTCACTAATAAGTGGACATTGACCAAAAATTACAGAATATCTAGGATACACCCCCACATAATTTAAGAAGTTTAACAAGCAGAAACACCGAGTGAGGATGCTTCAGTCCCACTTAGTAGGGGGCAGAAAATAATCACAGGAGGCAGAGGGAGGGAGGAATTAGGGCAGGAGGGGGGAGGGGAAAAGGGGAATGAGATCAGGTACTGGTGGTGGTGGTGGGGGTGACGATGGACAGGAGAGAAGCCTAGAGGGCCAGCAGAATGAATGGAAATATGCAGCCCCAGAAGGTGGGGAGGTGGGAAAACCACCTAGTGAGTATCAGACCTGGGAGGTGAGAGACTATCAGGACTCAATGGGAGTAACCTTAGCTGAAGTGTGCAACTGTGGGGAGAGGGAACTCAAAGAGTCCACCTTCAGTAGATAGTAGATAGTCCCTCAAGAGAAGGGATTGTGTTACCAACTCACAGTCAAAATTTCTGACCCAGAATTGTTCCTGTCTAAAAGAACTGCAGGGACAAAAATGGAGAAGAGACTAAGGGAAAGCAGTCCATTGATCAGCACGACCGGGGATCCACCTCAATGGGGAGGCTCCAAGTCCTGACAGTAATACTGATGCTATGATGTGCTTACAGACAGGAGCCTAGCATGGCTGTCCTCTGAGAGGCCCAACCAACAGCTGACTGAGTCAGATGCAGATACTTACACCCAACCATAGGACTAAAGTCAGGGACCTCTATCATTGAATTAGGGGGAGGATGGAGGAAGCAGAAGAGGGGGGTGACCCCATAGAAAGATCAGCAGTCTCAACTAATCCGGACCCCTGGGAAAGCCCAGAGATTGAGCTGGTCTGAGGCCTCCTACACATATATAAGAGAGGAATTCCTGGTCTGGCCTGTGGGAGAAGATTTGTTTAATCGTGGAGAGACTTGAGACCCCAGGGAGGAGAGGAAGCCTGGTTGTGGGGGATCATCCTCTTAGAGACAGGGTGAAGAGGAATGGGATGAGGAACTGTGGGGGGGGGCAGGGTGGACTAGGATGGAGGACAACGGCTGGATTGTAAATAAGAATAAAAGATGCCTTCTCAAGGAAGTAAATATCCAGTGGAGAGAAATAAATATGAAAATATAGGTTAGGCTGTATCAGAGAAAAAAAGATAGTGAATTTGATGCCAGTTATAAAATAAGGCCCTAACTGAAATAAAGAAATACTCAAACAAACAAATGAATGAATGAATGAATGAAAAATTCTGGTTTTCCCAAATATGAAAACAGTCCCATCTTCCAATTACCCAATCAGCCTTCTTCTGTTCTCTGTTTTAACTTTTTCTTTGTTCTTGGATTCTACATATCAGAGGAATCATGTGATACTTGTCTGTCTGAATCAACAAAGATTTCATAATAGCTCCAAGCCAGTAAGGTTTAGTTGGGACTACTCATGCAATTTTGAAGTGTACTTTAAGACATGTCTCAATGTGAAGAAGGCTTGGTTACAACTGCTGTCAAGATCTCAGATGGGAGGACCCAGCAAGTGAGGGCTCCAAACAGTGCTTTGAGAATAACCGTAGTAGATACTGTAGATTCTTTAAGTTCCTGCAATGAGCAACAGTTTGTGCTTTCACCTTCTAGGCAGAAGTTTTCTGGAGCAATAAACTGATGGTAAAGAAAACTATATAGAACAGTAATGGTTAGGCTATTTTCCAAAGAGACGGAATCCTTTTATGTTTCTGTCAGCAATGTGTAAAACTTAAGGCTTTTCTAAGCTCTTGTGAAGGTTTATTATTTTCCACTTTTAAATCTGTTGGTTGGACTAGCGAGATCCCAGAGAACTGGAATGTTTTCTCATTGTGATTTTAATTTGCATTTTCCCGATGATTAGTGTTATCAATAGATTTCATGAGATTTCCACTGTGTACCTTTAGAGATGTGTTCTTTTGAAGACTGGCCATTTGAATTTATTTATTTTTATGTTTTCTAAATTAATTAATTTATTATTGACAATATCATACATGAGTATAATGTATTTTGGCAGTATTCACACTCATTTATCATCTCTTGTTTCTCTTGTTTGGAGTTTTTAAGGCTCCTGACTTTGAATAGATGTCCAATTACCTTTTAAAAATTTTTTGAGGTCTCACTATGTAGCCCAGATTTAACTTGAACTCACTGCATACTCCAGAGTGTCACTGATTCATGAGCCTCCTGTCAGCATCTGCCATCAGATGCTGGCATTATAAGAGTGTGCCACCTTGCCTAATTCAGGAAATAAAGTCCCTCATCAAATACATGATTTTTTGAACATTTCCTCAATTCTATGGCACATTTT